TTTAAACAAAAAATTAGTGTTAAATACGAGTCTAACTCATGATGGGAACGGCGGCCGCGGGTTTCGCCTCTTTAGACTCGGAGAAGGGCTGAGACGGTATGATCTCATCCTTGGGCTCAACGATGTTCACGTTGTCCGGAAGCGGCAGTTTTGGCCCCTTCTTGCCGGTCATATCCCACGACAACATAATCTTCACCTAAGTTTACAACAAATAAGACACAAATCAAATCAAAATTCATTCAAATGAGAGGCCACTCAACGCATACCTTAATGCCGAGCACTCCCTGTCTGAGCAGTACGTGTCGGACAGCGGTGTCCACGTAGTCGTTGGTGGGCTGTCCGGAGTGAATCATCCATCCGTCGACAAACTTCATGCTCTTAGCCCTCTGTCCCCTCAACTTCCCGCTGACCACCACTTCGCAGCCCTTAGCGCCCGACTCCATAATGAAGCGCAACACTCCATAACACGCGCGACGGACGGCCAGACCTCCGATCAGCTTATATCGCAGTGATTCGCACTGAGCGATAGCGCACAGACCTCTGTCCGACACCTTCTCCGCGTACATCTAAGACAGTCATAGGGTTAGCACATCCACAGCACAGCACCGGCACTGATGGTCTCACCTCAACGGTTCCCTCCTGGAAGTTGAACCTCTTCTGGACAACACTAGTCAACTCGCGAATGCGTCGGCCCTTCTCGCCCAACACGGACTGAGTCCTCGTCGCCAAAATGATTATCTCAGTCCGTGTGGGACTCATCCGCACCTCAACACCGCTGTATCCATCCTCAGCCAACTCTCGGCGCAGAAATTCATCCAATTCTGCTTTGAAGATACCGTCCGACACGAACTGATCCCCAAAAGTGATAAATTGAGTTAATGTGTGTCCAGGAAGTGGTCAAATGCGGTGATAATTGTCTTACTTTGCGCTTCTTTGAGATCGCTTTAGCCATCGTTTCGCAGGAAAAGGAAATTCAATACAAAATATTTGTGACACAAAACACGCGTCGATTCAATGCGAGCGTAATATACAGTGTATTCATAAATAACGTGTGCATTGAGTGCAGCCCTCTATCAGTGAGTCTGTAATCGGCGTCCGTTTCGATGGCTTTCCATTCAATCACTCATTCATTGAATTAATGTTTTGTTTTAAATTCAATTCAAAGTTGTTTTCAATTTTGGTTTTGATTTAATTTTTGAGTTTATTTTTTTTTGGACCGAAAGACACGACTGTTTCGCAAACTCTTTGGGAAATGAGTTTCTCGTCGGACGAGGTATGCCTTCAATCACTCACTTATGAGCCTTACGTTCACTCAAATGTCACATCAATTGAACAAATAGTGATTTATTCAACAAAACTGATCATTAATTTGGTTTTGAATCGCTTTTTAGGTAAACTTCTTGGTTTACCGATACCTTCAAGAGTCGGGTTTCAGTCACTCGGCGTTCACTTTCGGCGTGGAGTCACACATCGCTCAGTCCAACATCAATGGAGGACTCGTACCGCCGGCCGCCCTCTTGTCCATCATTCAGAAGGGCC